CCCTGTTTCCCCATTCTGAATCCTCTCTGAATCCATCTGATAGATCTGAAGTGTAAAAGCTTGCCGGAAAGCGATGGTTACGAAGGATCGATAAATCGATGTAACTGTTGATATCAAAAGCGCTTTAGGCCACGGAAGTTGACGAAGGTTGGAACGAAGCTTTGTTAGTTTGATGGAATATTTGTAGTAATGCTATTTCTAGCGATTGTCAGCTGTTGCCATTTCGATGGTAACGGTTGACTTGATAGTTTCGAGCCTGTCGCAAGTGGAGATTTTTCGCTGGTGCGAAATTTCTGCATGCCACGTTTGAATCAATTAGTCGCACAAATGTGCCACACGCTTAATGAGGATAATCCTCATTAACACACCTTGTATCTCTGCGAATGCTTTATTCTAACATGACAATAGAGGCCAGATGTAATATGTAATTACTTGTACATTCAATCAGGTTCATTTCAATGGTATGAATTTGAGTTGGTGAATTTGCCGGGAGGAGTCGCCAGACACAAGATGTTTAGCATACAATTCTGGGCAATGATGAACTTAGTGAAACGTGCAGCTGTTTGTACATTCAACGCGGGCGCAATTCAGTTAGGCTATTCAATAGACACAATTGCGATGCGGTAATTAGAAGCTCTGTAAACGAGAGAATTTTTATTTCGTTCGACAGTACCACGAAATTCGGAAAAATCTATTCGCCTATGATTGAATGTTGACATTTATTAAAACAAACATTTTCTTAGTCATTTCATGTCACACAAAGTGAACAATATTTTCCTACACAGAATTTTTCACAAAAATTTCTCTCGATCGTGTGATTCCACGTTTAACCGTGTAACTTCTACAGCAATTCGTTAATGTTAGATGTAAAATTTCACACGTCAATTTCGCTGCTTACTTTTGCCACCCAATTAAAAAGTTCAAGTTGAAACGAATTAAACAAATTTCGACGATACACCTGTAGCATTCGTATTTCCTGGCTTCTCCTTTTTTTCTTTTTTTCAATTACAATTTGTCCCGCGCTTATTAACGGGAGAATTCCTTCGTAACTGAACGAAAATAACGCGCAGGATAAAATGTCGCGCGAAACTTTTCTAATTTCCGCCGATACACCGTAACGAGATCCGGGCGCGCTAAATAACAATTAATTATATTTAGTTTTTGTCGGGCTAACTAGCGCGAACGGGCGATTTTTCATGGGATAAATGACAACGATAAACTCCAGGGCATAATTAAAACGAAACAACTGTCCTTGCGTTCTCTCTCATTGTGCTGTGCATCACGTGCAGGATTCTCTTGACACGGATCGTACGATTTATAATGCAACGAACGGGCGAGATCGCAAACATATTCGTCAGGATGAAAAATAACGTCAAAAATTCACGATTTTTCATGTATCAGTTATTAATTTTATTTTCCCAAAATTAATACGTCAATAAATATCGAGCATATATTCTATGATATTGAAAAATCACTTATATTTTCTGTTCTCGATTCATTTTACAATATTGTTGCGGCAAGAATAAGAGAAAAGTGGAACGGAATATGGACCACATCAAAAATAAATAAAATCCACGACACGGTGCGATATTTTACCAACTAACACCAAAACAGAATATGAGTTGGAAAGAGAAACGATCATGACCAGACTAAGAAGTGGTAATTCCAAATTCACCCACGAACACCTACTAAAGAAAACTGGTCCACCTTTCTGTAATCTGTGCAATCATAGAATTTCGACGAGCCATATTGCTCTAAGAGTGCAGATTTCAAGCTCAACGTCAGAAGCATAAACTTAGAAGTTCGGTAACTCGGAAATTCTGGAAAATTTGAAACTTTGCACAAATTTGTAAATTTTCACGATAATATGAAAACTCGCAATTTTTTTTTGGACG